CTGTTTTATATTCTGATAGAAATTTACATTTTTTTGTCACTGAAGCCTGATTTTAAATGTTTTTACTTTTATGCTCCAAAATGTGACTTGTTTTTGTTTAATATTTTAATTCCAAGATGAAAGGAGCTTAAAACATGGTAAATCCAGAGATGTTGCTCTTGCATCATCTGACGTCATCCTCCTTCTGTCGACCGCATGACCCTTTAACTCATGACCAACTCTTGCTCTGTGGAGTTCCTTACCTGTCCAAGATGAGCCAGATGAAAGTGGTCAGCAGGATCCCCAAAACCATGAGCGTGATCATCCAAGTGAGCAGATGTGACCTCATACCTTCTGTCCTCTCCTGCTGCCTCCTCTACCTGTCACAGCACTCACGTTGCTATCTGCTGCCTMCCTCTGTGATTTCAGATTTCCTCCCTCTGACCCTCCTGGGATTGCTCTCAGTTTGAACAACCTGAAGCTCTTCTCTTGGTTTCTTTTCACTCATTTCAGCGTCTCGCCGACTTCCTGTGGGTTAAACTCTGCGTGGCTTCAGTTTTCTTCCTTTTCTTGTTCAGGCAAGCCCTGTCTGCTCACCTCTACTCTGTCTTTCCTCTGTCCCTGCTTGGATCCAGACCAGCAGAGTCAAAACAGCTGCCCTGACGCTCCATGATTCATCTGATCCTCGTCATTTCTGATAAGTTGGATCACTTTTTCCCCCTTTGTCTAGTTTTTGTCTAGTTTTTTTTRCCCTTCTAGCCTCTCTCAACCCAACAGCAGCAGCTCTCTTTCTATTCTCCACCCCTATCCCCACAGTAACCCGGCCTTCTGTCCCTCCCATCCCCAGCTGTCCCCCGCCCACATTCCCATCATTGACTCCCCTCTCCCCTTCTCCCATTTGTACAAAAAGGGGGGCAGTAACCTGAGTGCCCAGAACAGAATTAGTCCTCAGTGTCTGTGTGGAACAGCACGTCCAAACTCGTAACTGTTCAACCTTAATCTCTTTTTTTCAAACTTTTATCCTCTAGTAATAAAAGTTCTTTAATGTTTTTTTTATTCCAGTTTCAAAGGTACATATCGTTTGGTGCCAGCTGCTCTGTGCTGGGAACGAAGAACGAAGTGTTGGCCGTGGGAGGAGGAGGATCGTGGGAAATCTCTTCCACATGAGGACTGGATTAAAACGTCTTAATTCCAAAACTTCCTGTATTTCTGTCCCCTGACTAGAGTTTGAAGGAGGGTGCATGCTGAGTCAGCAAGAGAGAGCAACAGCACCCTCTTCTCCACACAATCAGGACCTCAAAGGAGGTCATGGAAAGTTTTTTTTTTTTCTGGCAGACACTCGTGGAGCTGATGAAATAGTTGCAAACAGAGATGGGCAATAAGGCCTGTTGTTAAACATCCATAAGGTTTTGTTTGTGCTTCTGTAATTAGCACAACAAACTGCCAGGAATCTGAATCTTTCTTCCCCCCTTTTTTTAAAATAATCCATGATTTGATGTGATGAATAGAATAAAATAAAACTTCCACTTTGAGACCTGGATCCAAACAGTTCCTGCTCCACTAATCTGTTAAAAACTAGCTCATTTAGCAGATTAACATTTTTGATAACTTTGAGAACCGTTAGCAGACCGGTTAGCTTTCTTCCAATTAGAATGCAATAATTTGAAGCGGACTAAAAAAAATTCACAAATGCAAATTTTTTATTTTTCTGCCATTTATCTGGAGTTAAATAAAAACTAACCCTGTTTACAAGCAGTGCTGGACATTTGTAGCATGTAGCATCTTTAGCAGCTAAAGAATTAAAAATAAATGTAAAAATATTCAAATAACAAATACAAAAAACGACTACGTATAAAAAATGGCGGAGAAAGTATTGGCTATTTGTTGACTTCAAAAGGTATATTTTTAAAATGCAAACTTGTTCTTGAAATGCTTTTACTCTGAAAGGGTTAAACTAAAAGTTTCACGTGTTAGACAGAGTTATACGTAACTGGTTTGGATTGGCCGATTTGCCACAGATAATCCCACCCAACTTCAAATTAAACCCATACTAAACTAACAGCAGGTTTTTGTGGTCTTAGCAGTTAGCATTAGCTTCAGCTCATTTTATTAGCATTGGAGGATAAGATTCTTGTTTAGTGTATTAGTGGTTAGTGACATTTTGGCTAGCTGTGCCCACCACTCAGCTTCTGAGTCATAAACGCAACAGAAATGTTACAGTTTCTGTGACGTGTCCAGGTGTCGTGACCTTAATTAACCTACATGTTTCACCTTTACAGTGATTGGCTGATCCAGCTTTAAAAGGATTAAGCCCCGCCTGCTTCAAGGAAGCAGGGAGACCAGAGGAGAGATGCTGTGGACCCAGTTGTCTGGCCTCCCTCCAGCTCCTGCCTTGTTGACATCTATTGTTTCATGTGTTGGGTTGTTGTCAAGTCTGGGAGTTACCGGACCCTTTCTTTGGTTGCAGGGTCAGATCCTGGACCACGTTCTGAATCCGATGGTCAACTGCTGGCTGGCTCGGGTCCTTCCTTTTGTTTGTTTTTGGCCGGAGCTCTCGGGTCTTTTTGTTCAGACTGCCCTTGTGTTAATAATAAAACCTTTGTTTAAACGTTAAAATCTTCTGGGCTCTGTACGTTATGTGTCACTCGGACCGTAACATGTTTGGGGACTTGTCCTAAAAGTGAAGGACATTTGGCTCGTGGTTTCTGGGGTATTTTTAAAGCAGTTGTGGGCTTGTTCGTTCCTGAAAAAATCAGCGGTATGTTTGAGGCTTTTGACCGTTTGTTTGCRGAAGCTCATCTCTTGGTTTCTTTTCACTCATTTCAGCTTCTCGCCGTCTTCCTGTGGGTCATTTTTTTACTGACAGATGTGGCATGTTGCTGTGCACAGGTTGTTGTGGCTGTGTGATTCAAACAGGATTTTATTTTCCCCGAGCCACATTTTATACATTTGTGATGGTAACTTTAGGGAGCATTTGCTCCTCCGATTCTTTAATTATAATATCAATAAAAGGAGTTCAAAGTGGGTGATTTTTTGGATCACCCCACCATTGAGCAATTTAATCAAGGGGTACTTATTTTTCYATCTCCGTGTCTAAACAATTAAAAAAGAAAGCAATGAAAATTGAGATTTTTTTCTGCTCTGACCAAAGCCAGTGTTTCCCCTCAGACAAGTCCCGAGGTTGCGTTATTATGGGGCACCAAGAGTAAAATGAAACATTAAAAATTTTCACATATTTTTCAATATTTAGCTGACTGTTCTTAAATTTAGCTCAGTTTTACTAAATGTTAAAGTTAAACGTCCATCCGGTTTCTGCCGCTTATCCGGGGTTGGGTTGAGGAGCCAGCAGAGAGGCCCAGACTTCCCTCTCCCCAGCCACTTGGGCCAGCTCATCCGGGGGAATCCCAAGGTGTTCCCAGGCCAGCCGAGAAACATTGTCCCATAAAAGTTAGGAACAGAATCTGTTACAAAAGGCAACCTTGGCAGAGCCCAACTCTTACCTAGCCTGGTTAAAACCAGACCCTGTCCTTCACTTTGCTTCCTTCTAGGGTCTGGACTTGATGCATAGACAAGCTTTTCATGCAGGAGGCGTGGCCTCTGCTGAAGCATGTATGTGTTGTCGCTGTGATGGAGGCTAAGCTAAGAAGCTAACCGGAAGTCGCGTGTGCTGTAAACAACCCTACTGAGAGTAGAAAAGTACCGAACGAGACGTGTGTAAATGAGAGCTGCTGCTTTGTCAGACAAATTTATTTTAATTTGGAAGTCTTATCAACACAGACTGGCTTCATTCACTTCCTCCACTGCCGTATGCTAAACTAACTAGCAGACACTGCGCAGAACATCAACGTCATTCAAAACTCCTCCTTCTGTTCTCTGATTGGCCCAGGTAAAATAAACTACAAGCAGACACTGCGCAGAAAATTGACGTTCTCTTCTCTGATTGGCCCGGCTAAAAATCTGCCAGCGAAATCCATCTCAATGTGAGGAGTCCCAGACGGAGCAGAGAAGGGAAACTAGAATTGAGCGGAGCTGCGTAGGAAGGCAAGGGCCAGGCTAACTCTTACCAGAAACGAGTCCGACTCACTACCGGCAATGCGGACAAAGCTTTGGCACCAGTCATACAGGGACCTAACAGCCTCTTATTAATGGGCCTGGTACCCCATTCTCCCGGAGTACCCCCCACAGGAGTCTCTGAGGGACACAGTCGAACGCCTTCTCCAAGTCCACAAAACACATGTAGACTGGTTGGACGAACTCCCATGCACCCTCCAGGACCCTGCTGAGGGTGTAGAGCTGGTCCGCTGTTCCACAACCAGGACGAAAGCCACACTGCTCTTCCTGAATCTGAGATTCGACTGTCCGACGGACCCTCCTCTCCAGGACCCCTGAATAGACCTTACCAGGGAGGCTCAGAAGTGTGATCCCCCAATAGTTGGAACACACTCTGCGGTCCCCCTTTTTAAATGGGGGGGACCATTGCTCTGCCAATGCAGGGGAACTGCCCCTGATGTCCACCAAATATTGTAGAGTCAAAATGTAGAAATGTTGAAAATACAGTATATTTAAATATTAAATCCCAAATCTAAATGTAAAAGTTAAACCTTAAATGTTGATGTTCACATTTTAGTATTTTGAAATGGAACGCAGCCTTTGCTGTTGGTGCTCGGCTCATGTTATGATGTCATCATCCTGAGACAATAGCAACCGTTAGCGCTCCAAAGCAGCTAAAGCTTCTCTACAAGACATCAAACTTATGGCTGTTGTCTGAGCTGCACTTCAAACAGCTGGACCATTTTGTTGTCAATTAACACATTTTGAATTTAGATTTTAAATACTATCTTTAGCGGTGTTAGCAGCGGTTAGCGTTAGCTATCCTGGATGATGAAACGTCAACACTAGCTGCTGCTAGCCACTGCTAACCCTGCTGGAGATGGTGTTTATATCTAAATTCAAAATGTATAAATAAAAAACAATATTGTTGGCACTTGTGGTCCTGTAAACACACTTGTTTCCTCAGTTGTGCTGAAAGCCTCACCTCCTACTGAGGTTCTATGCTATCAATGCTATCAAGAGTTTCACTCTTGATAGCATAGAATCGGCTTGTTGGGGACCAAAGATTTGTTTACATTTTCAGTTGGTACGGTTCAGATTCACATTGCACTTTGTCAAACAAACCAAACCCTATAAACAACCTAAACAGGGCTGGTGTGAATGCACCCTTAAAGYAGTTGTCCGGGGCTAAGCCTCACATTGACAGTCAGCATAAAGCTGTGTTACAGTCATTTTAAAAATTCAGAAATACTGAGTAAAATCGGCTCAAAGTCGACGTGATGTCATCCAGTCAGGTGATTTCAACTTCCATTGTTGTGTGAGGGTAAACGCTCTGAGACTCTGTTGCAAAATGTGTCAAAAGTAGAGACTTCAAACTGTACAGTTTTAAATTGTGTCAATAGGCCAAGTAAACCCGGAGTTATGATGAAAACTTTTTTTTCTGAAAATGATTGTCATATTTGAACAGATTTGTGTGTTGGAAAGTCTGTAAATGTATCGTCTTTGGAAAAACAGCTTTGAACCAAAGAAACATTTATAGTCGTGCTAGTCTCACAAATCCTCCGAGACTTAAAGGAATGCCCCTCCTGGGAAAAACAACACAAAACTCTATGAAATAAATAATAATAATAATTACGTCTGATGGCAAAGATTTAAAGGGATTTTGCACATTTGCATGATATTCAACATAAAACAGAAAAAAGTAAATGTAAAAAATATGTTTTCTGTTTTGTGAGTCACAGTAAGAAAATAACTATTTTGTCCAAGAAAGGATGGAGAAGATTTGTTTTTCCACCACCCTGCTGGAACAAACCTCSAAATCTGACATCTGATTTCCATCATTACAAACTATCCTCCTCTAAAGTCAGTTTTATGTACTTTTAACCACATTACAGCCAAATGCTCAACATGGCATTGAAAACCCYACACACGAGACTCCACACTGACAAAAATCTCCTCTAGCTGTCAGCTTGGAGTCGTACCCACCAGTGATGGATGAATGTGTTGAGCTCTCAGTGATTAATTGGTSGTTGAGGAATTGAAGTTATGTGCACTTCGTAAATTTCTGCAATTAAAAACAAGAAATGCTTGTGGCAAAAAACTTGGCTGAAGATATTTGTACGTTTCTCAGGGGAGCGGTTAAAAAAATAACCACAGAGGAAATATTGTGTACATGTGGCTGATTAAGTGAGGTTGAGATTAGATAAAGATGGGTCAAGAAATATGCTTAAAATGCACTTTGGTTTCCCAAGTTGTAAGATTTATAAGTTCAGTTGTTTGCATTTTAATTTACCGTAACTGTATCCTGGAACACTGAGACACTCCACCAGAATCAAGTTTATACTCTCGTGTCTCTTTCAATGGATTTTTACTTGCAGAAATGTTCCTGAAACCAGGACGCTGCTTTATGCCTGAGCTAAATAAATCATTTTGTGGAACGACATCAGCAAACGAGAATGTTTTATTTGACAGGAAGCCTGAAAAGGCGAGATTCAGAGAAAACTGAAGAGAAGCACCTCCACAAAGAGCAAAGTCCCTGACAGCAACCAAACCCCGCTGCAACAACGAGGGAAACCCCGTTCCATAAATACAAGAGACAGGATGTAAATCTGAGCTGTCTTTTGATGTGTGATGAAGAAGAACTTCCTGTCAAGAGTTGAGTTTCTACGTTGCTAAATACCAAGAAACTGCAGTTCTCATCGTGTGTTCTTCTAAACCAGGGGTGTCCAAACAGTTTGTCACATGGGCCAAAATCATGTCAGAAGGACTTGAGGGCCAAAATATTTTTCTTTACCTGCTCAACAATAAACCAAGCATTGAATACTTTAATTTAACAAATAAAGTAGTCAGATTTATTGCTGGAAATGGATGCGTAAATCAATCTAGATCCAGAACTTTAAAAGTGTTTTTCAGGTTTCCCTTTTTGAAAGAAATTTTCTATGTTTCAATTGGGGAAAAAAAATAACTAAATTTAGTAAATTCTGATCAATGAAATCAGTATATAGGTCACTCTTTCGTTGAAAATGCTTGCTGTATTCATAATAAATTAAATCAAAGTAGATTGGAGTGCAGCAAAATCAGCTTTTGAGTATAAGTCACTAGATAGATGTAGAAAAAGCRAAGAGTCTGGTTATTTGAAGACAAATAATTGGTATTTTTGCCTTTGTGATAAATTTACCCTAATAATAAATAGAAAGTCTCCATCTACATTGAACACCTGTGCCGGGGGGACAAATTTGTAATAAATTAGTATAATTCTTGAACTGAAGTCAGGGGCCACACAAAATCAGTTCAAGGGCCACAAATGGCCCCCGAGCCACAATTTGGACATCCCTGTTTTAATGGGATCCTTGATTCCTTGTAACAGTAGACTTTATTTGATAAACATTTATTTTAACTGCAAAATAAAGTCTGTAAAAATACTGAAGGCTGTTTAGTTTTGTAAATAAATAAAAAAACGTTGCTGCAAAGCATACTGGGTAAATGATGACATCAGCTAAGTACCAGACTGTGAGCGAGCTATATCCACCCTGAAGGTTAATATTGGACAATATCTGACGATRYMCTCTTTTAAATAAAACCAGAGAGCGTTGACAGAGAGAAGAAGGTAGCAATGACTCAGCCTGGAACTGAAAATATGGATGGAGGACAACAGAGCTGCTTCATGGAAGAAGAACCTCAGCTTAGCCTGTTAGCTTTAGCGTTAGCTATATTGCCATATATATATGTATTAGCTCTATGCTAGCGCGTCAAACAAGCTAAACTGAGGTCCTCCATCCATATTTTCAGTTGCAGGCTGAGTCATTTTTGTGTTCCCCTCTCTGTCATGTGAATGGAGAACCTCAGTGACGAGAGGAGAATGTGTAGCGCTGAGATATTTATGGTGATATAATGTTGGTGCTAGCGCAAAAGCTAACAGGCTGAACTGAAGTTCTCCATGAAGCAGCTCTGTTGTCCTCCATCCATATTTTCAGTTCCAGGCTGAGTCATTTCTACCTTCTCCTCTCTGTCAACGCTCTCTGGTTTCATTTAAAAGAGTCGATCATCAGATATTGTCCAAGATTAACCTTCAGGGTGGATATAGCTCGCTCACACCAAGGATCTATTCACATCATCATTTACCCGGTGCTTAGCTGGTGTCAAAAAAGGTATACTGTTACAAAAAAATTGTAAAAATTTACAAAACTGAACAGCCTACAGTATTTTTATTGATTTTATTTTGCAGTTAAAATAAACTTTTATCCAATATAGTCTCATGTAATCATGGATTAAAAACACCTTAAATATATTTAAAGTCCATGTGAAGACACTTTGCTAACTAATCAGACCAGTCTTTGTTGGGTTCACAGTCCCCCAGGTTCATCTTGAGCACACCTTTTTTGTGCAGCTCTAACAGTAGTTTGAACTCCACCGGCATGGCGTGGAACGACGTAGCTTTTTTATTGTCGTAGTAGTGGTTCGCCAGCTCTTGGAAACTGTACGGGTGGACTTCGAAGGGCCAGAAGCCATACAGGTGCACGGTCTCACAAAGCTCCAGCGCCAAGCTCACCATTATGATGCCGGTGCTCGGTCGCGTGGCCTTCAGGCCCTGAGAGCGCCAGAAGAGGCTGACGTTGTAGAGGTAGTCCGGATTGATAAAGACGGGTCGGACGGGTCCTCCAAAGTCCTCGATGGTGTAGAGAACCCGGAGGCAGACGGCAGTGTTCATGCCGAAGGAGAAAGGTGGGAGGAGAAGCAAAGAGTCACCGTAGTTTTGCAATTTCTTCATTAGTGGGAGTCGACGTCCCGTCAGAGCGCCGTACCTGCAAATAATAGTAATTAAAGTTTGATTATAAAGCACCCTTAGGGATGTAAAATCACAAAGTACTTCACTATAAAATATGTAATAACAAACACAGAAAAGCACAGTAACAACACAAACATACACACATCAAATAAACCTCTGAAAAGTCTTCAGATGTTTTGCAGGATGGTGATTGGAAGTGTATTAAGAGATATAAGAGGAGTTTGTTCATGTAAGGCTCGAAAACTAAGAAAACAGATTTTAAAAATTAATTCTAAAATGAATTGGGAGCCCGTGAAGTGAAGCTAAAACAAGTGCAACGTGAGCTCACTTATTTATCTTGCAGTTGAGTTCTGGACTCCTTGTTTAAACATGTGAAGCTGTTACAAAAGTCCTAACAAGAAATGAATGCACGAATGATCATTAAAAGTTTAGTCACAAGTAACTGTTAATTACATGAAGTTGGTATTGGGATTACAGGAACTGCCCTAAAATGGTTAAGGTCATATTTATTTGATGGATTTGCAAATGTTAAAAAGTTAATCTTCTGCTTACACCAGAGTAAGTCATGGAGTTCCTCAGGGTTCAGTGCTTGGACCAATCCTCTTTACTTTATATATGCTTAGGTAAAGTTATTAAACAGCATGGGATAAATTTCCATTGTTATGCTGATGATACTCATATTTATCCATGAAACCTGATGAATCCAATCAGTTACTTAAACTACAAGCATGTCTTACAGACGTAAAAACATGAATGACTCTTAACTTTCTGCTTCTGAACTCAGATAAGACAACAGGTTTACTTGTGGTTCCTCAAGTTTCTAAAAGTAGAATGGGAGGCAGAGCTTTCAGTTATCAAGCTCCTCTCTTGTGGAACCAACTTCCAGTTTCTGTCCATGAGGCTGACACTCTGTCTACTTTTAAGATTAGACTGAAGACTTTCCTTTTTGATAAATCCTATAGTTAGACTTAGGTTTCCTGAATTATTCCTTAGTTCTTCTGCTATAGGTTTAGACTGCTGGAGCACAAACTGACCATGTTTCCTCACTCTGCTGCTGTCTTTAATCACTCTCCTCCTGTGTTGTATAAAGTACCTCAAAGTGCTACTTGAGTAAAAGTACAAGTATCTTACCATAAAATTACTTTGGTAAAAGTTAAAGTCTCCTCTAAGAATATTACTTGAGTAAAAAGTCTTAAGTATGTGATTTTTATTTTATTTTATTTTTTTGTGCTGAAGTATCAAAAGTAAATTTCTGACATAAAATGTACTCTAGTATTAAAAGTTAAAGTACTGAGTAAAAAATGAGCTGGTTAAATTTACTAAATGAAATTTATTGGGCGGTGATCTCCCCAAAAATAGATTTATTTTTGATGGTGTGCTGTTGAGATGGCCTGTGTTCAAAGTAATATGGTGTCAGAATGGTAATTATTTAAACTTCTAATACAACCACAATTAAATTCACTCTATCCTGGAGGCCAAATTTATCAGGGTAGTGTTTTTTTTTTAACTTTAACAAGCCACAATAAAAAGGTAGTAATGACTTTCAACTTCTTACCTTTTGTAAGGAGAAGTAATAAGTTGGCTGAAAAAGAATTGCTCAAGTACAGATAAACAAAATTTCTACTGAAGTACAGTAACAAAGTACTTTGAAACTCTGCTCTCCTCTACATGTTTGCGGTAATTATTTCTATTCATAATGCGTTTTCTTTCTCTCTTCCAGTGGAAAATACATCGGAACCAGTCCTTTTTGTGTCTTTTTTTTTTTTTTTTTTTGTCCCCATAAACCCAGCCGGTCGAGGCAGGTTGTTAATGTGCTGCTCAGGATGGGAGGCTGCAACAAAAGTATTTAACTCACTCTGCTGGCTTCCTTAAACTATTGTTCTTTGTACAGTGTCCGTAAAGGATCTTTATAATGACTTGGCGCTCTATAAATAAACACAATTWAACTGAATTTAACTCCTGTTTGATGCTATTCTAACAATTTGTTAAAYACTTTAATGTTTGAACTCCCTTTTTTTGAATGAGCGTAATAATAATGTGAAGTTAAGGTAATTAAACAGTCATTAACTCACTTTTGCAGAAAGATGGTTGGGTTTGCTGTCACGATGTTCGTCTTGACGCCGACATCTTTCTCATATCCGTCTGTCACAGGAGGCAGGTTGCACCTGAACAAGCAACAATGCCACTGATGCTGTCATTTGGCTCTTCTCCACAAAATGAAGTCGGATCACCAGTGCAGCTCTCTCACCTGATTACAAACTGAGCAGAATCGATCCTTTTCCCACAGCTGCTGTTTGCCAGGATACCGCCGTTTCCGACAACAGCACAGGTCTGCCATTTTTTATTCGGGAGAGGATTTTCCTGAAATCGTGAAACAAAAAGCCGCTTTAATTACTTGCAATGTTTTTCATATTATAGTTTATTCTTTGAGGTGTTTAATATTTATAAGAGTGAAGTGAGACCAGCTGTGTTGTTTAGTTTGGAGACCAGGGCCCGTATTTATCAAACTTCTTAGAATTTCTCTTAAGAATGCTGCTAAGAGTGGACTTAAGTGTAAAAAAGTTCTTAGTTAAAAGCTGAGAGTAAAAGTCAGTTATCAAGCGTCTCAGTTTCACTTTAAGCGAAGTAAAGGAGTGATTCTTAAGTGTCAGTCTTAGAGCTGATTTGCGACACCTGGCTGTGCTGCAAAGCTGATCCTGGATGATATCGTTTGAAGAAAAAAAAAACCAACACGGACCAATCACTGCCTCGGATTTCATGTTCAAGAATATTGTTGGAGAAATGGCAAGATAAGACTGTGAAAATCCTAAAGTAAGTTCACACTCGACGCTCTGTTCATACATGTCACGTTGTACTGATTGTCATAAATTACATAAAATTTCCTCTTTTACATCATGAATAAAGAAAATCTTGCAGATTATTTAAAAGCTGCAAGTTGAATGTTTTTTAAATGTCTCAGAGTCTGAGGTAATGTTCCTCCTCCTCTCCCTCTTACCTAACCTACCCACAAACAATGCCCTCTTCACACACACACACACACACACTCACATGCTATCAATTTTTTTTATGAAATTAAAATATTTCGTAGATCCCAGAATTTGAACAGAACAACTTAGGAACAAAGTTTCAGCCTGTCTCAAAAATGAAAAAACCACAACCTTCCAACATCAGTAGAGAAGAGACAGACYCWCTCACCACCCTCAACAAGGACAAGAACATCATCATTCTTCCAGCAGACAAAGGAAGGTGCACAGTGATTTTGAACCAGAGAGCCTACCATGAGTATGTTATGACATTCCTTAGTAACAAGACCACATACGAGCCACTGAAAAGAGATTCAGGAAGTGGTTACAAGAAGAAGTTGATAGAGTTCCTGAAAAGTTTAGAGCAGGACAAGGCTTTTACCTGCATTCTGTACCACACACTGTACCCAGGTGAGGCCACTCCTAGTCTTTACGGTTTACCCAAAATTCACAAACAGGATGTACCGATAAGACCTATTGTTAGCATGATTAACTCTGTCACTTACAATGTTTCCAAATATCTAGTGTCAGTACTTGGTCCATTAGTTGGCAGTTCAGAACATCACATACAGAACACCATGGACTTTGTGAACGAGGTGAGGGATGTCATCATGGAGACGGATAAAACTATGGTCTCTTTTGATGTCACATCACTCTTTACGTGCGTTCCTGTTGATGAGGTGGTGGATGTGGTCTGTGTAAGATTAAAATCAGACACCACTCAGCAGTAGAACCACACTTTCCACAGAACAACTGTGTCAGCTTCTGAAACTGTGCCTGGAATCAACCTATTTCACATATGGGGGGCAATACTATAGGCAGAAACATGGTGGTGCTATGGGCTCCCCAGTTTCCCCTATTGTTGCAAACCTGTACATGGAGGAGGTGGAAAAGAGAGTTCTGATGTCCTTTATAGGGACGCCACCGAACCATTGGTTCAGGTATGTTGACGACACCTGGGTTAAAATTAAATACCAGGAAGTCCAACATTTCACTGATCACATCAACTCTGTGGAGTTAGGAGTCATCAGAACTCTGTACCACAGAGCAGACAGTGTCCCCACAAACACAGGAGCCAGAGAGAAAGAGAAGTCACACACAAGACAGGCTCTGGAGCAGTGTGGTTATCCTAACTGGGCTTTTCTGAAAGCAGACAAGAAACCCAAACAGGATTCCAGCCAACAACCAGCTGAAAATGAAGACCCTAAACCCAGACCCAAACCAGTGGTTATTCCATATGTGGCGAGAGTTTCAGAGAAACTGAGACGTTTATTCTCTAAACATGACGTCCCAGTGGCTTTCAAACCCCAAAACACGTTACAACACAGATTAGTTTACCCCAAAGATCCAGTTCCCCGGCAAAAACAGATTAATATAGTGTATGCTGTTAAGAGTCGGGAGGACTTTGATCAGTCATACATTGGGGAAACAAAACAGCCACTGTTCAAAAGAATGAGCCAGCACAGACGAGCTACGTCGTCGGGTCAGGACTCTACGGTTTACGCTCATCTACAGGCCAGGACTTAGCAGTTTACACTCATCTACAGGCCAGGACTCTGCAGTTTACACTCATCTACAGGCCAGCGGTCACTCTTTCAGGGATGAAGATGTTCTCATCCTTGATAGAGAGTAACGCTAATTTGAGAGAAGAGTAAAGGAAGCCATCTTTGTGAAGAAAAACCGTCCACCATTAAACAGAGGTGGAGGCCTTCGTGTCCAGTTGTCCTCCTCCTTCAACGCTGTTAWTGCAAGTATGACTCCGCCCCCTGTGAGCAAAAGGTGTGAATCAGGGCCCCAATGATACCAACAGAAAAGGTGAGAGAGAGACAAAAACAAGGGGATGTTGAACCCCCGCTTGCATTCACTACATACACATAACACGACACGGGTCAGATGATGGGGCACATGACCCTCTATGAACAATAGAGATAATCAAGCCTATTGTTAGTCGATGGCCCTCTTTTGCATGTGACTAACCTGTCTGTCCATGTGGAGGCAGTGCTTATAAGGCTGAGTTCACCTGAAACTCATCAGACTGAAGAAGTCTCTTGGAGGAGAGACAAAACATTTCACTAAAGAAGAACCCATCCAGAGGACCTACTTAATTATGACCCCCGCATGCGAAGTGTAAGCGGGGGCCAACGGTTTTACGATACACCCCATATTTGAGGAGGGGTCTCCTTTCAAAGAGGGGGTGTCTGGACATGCAAAAATGCTTATAACTCAGAAACTGTTCAACATAGAAGCTTCAGATTWATTTTGTTGTTTAGCTCTGATGAAGCTCTATCCATCAGGCCCACCAATCAGTGCCCCCACCCCCCGGACCCCCAATTTATCTGAAAAAGTGGTATCTGGACATACAAAAATGGTTATTGCTCAAATACTATTAAACATAGGAGCTTCAGATTTTCGTTGGTTGTTTTGCTCTGATGAGGGGCTATCCATCAGGTCAACAACACCGCACCCACCCCACCCAAAAAAAGACCCCCACCCAAACCACTACAATTTTGGGATGCACCTAGTAGCATGACATTTATTAGGAATGAAGATTCCTGAGTTCTGGTGCATTTGTGCGTGCGGGGGTCATCATGTTACCACTATGCTGTATCTAGTTTTTCTTTTTGATTCGTAAAGTTTGAGTTAAAGAAAGAAAACATAATAAAGTTCAGTTCCACCTTCACCAGTGGAAAAATAAAAGAGCAACACTTTTGACAGCATTATGTCTTCTGTTTTCACTCACCAGCTGACGGTTTAATATTCTCCAAAAGCCACACAAAAATATCTACCTTTAGTCCAACATTATTCACACTAATAACAGGCTTTTTTCTCCTCTTCTTTCTTTTGTACTGATGACTAAACCTGTTTTCTAGACTTTATTTTATTTCCTCTGTATTGTAACTGAAAATCACACTCAGGTGGGAGACCCCCCGGACCACTTAGTGCAGTTTCAGAGGGGGTGCAGAGTATTCTTGAGGAGGACACGCTGTGAACTCTGTTTTCTCAGAGTTTAGAATTTTGATAACTTGCTTTTACACTTAAGTCTGAGAGTAGGAGCAAATCTAAGAAATTTTCAGCACGTAAGTCTAAAATTCCACTCTAAGAAGTTTGATAAATACGGGCCCAGATCATCACTTCAAACTGAAACACAGTAATGAAATAATTACGTTTGGAAAGTTGTCCAACATCTCTTGGTTCACTGTGAGGATCCTCTTCCTCTCCCCGTCATAAACGATCTGTGATCCCAGCTGAGTGTTCACCTTGGTGATGATGGCTTTTTCAGAACCGTGACACTTGTTGCTCAGCTGAAGGCTGGAGAACCACAAAGACTTTATTAGCCCTGAGGAACAGGAGCTAAAGATACCTGCYGGACGAGCTGTAGTCTGTAGCTTCTTATATGAATCTAACAATAAGCTTGTGTCAACAAACTGAAAAATAAGAGTTAAAAAATGAGTAAAAAATGAGCGTTTTGTCTTTAAAACTTCTCAAAAGTTCTCAGAGAAAAGTCTCGGTCTGAACTCAGGAGTTTGTCACCACCACCATCCCTGCAGAAACCCCTCCCCCACATCAAGTTCACATTCAATCTAATTAATTTATAAAGCCCTTTAAAACTCCTCCAAAAGAACAAAGTGCTGTTCAGTAAAATACAGTGAAAACAATAAAAGGCAAAAAGAATAAAACAAAGGACAAAATTGATATAAACCATAAAAATCAATGTCCTAAGATGCATCAAAAGTCACTGAATAAAAGGGGGTTTTAAATTAGACATATCCTGCTTTTYAATCCTTACTCTTTTTTTATAAAGTGGAACTACAATGTTTATTTTAACTTTACCAGCCCCCTTTTTCACCACTTTTCTAGCACCAGGATTTGATACTGTTCTTTTACAATGCTTCAAGCCCCGCCCCCTTCCTGCTTCCAGACCAGTCCACTCCGGTTTGACAGTGGCGCTCATGTTTTCCAGCAATACAGAAATGTTTTATTTGCAATTAAATTGAAAGATGTCAACAACAGAAGACTTGTCCATCCAGCTTTACATGTTGGAGCCAGAGTCTGACCCTGAACCAGAGTCTGACCCTGAACCAGAGTCTGACCCTGAACCAGAGTCTGACCCTGAACCAGAGTCTGACCCTGAGCCAGAGTCTGACCCTGAACCAGAGGAGAATGAAAGTATGAGAATGAGTAAATTGTAGTTGGTAAGTCCAGACCTTATATGATAATTCCATCACAGAAAACAGAGAAAAGTGAACGGGCTAAAACATACAAACCAAACAGAATAGGCATAGGCAGTGTAGGCAAACACTAAGGGCACCGTCCATCTACCACAAATGTAGGATGAATGACAAACTTTGCAACTTTTTCAAAGTCTAGCTGATTTATTCTGTAGAATAACCACTGGTTCCTCAGGTTTATAGTGGTTATGGTGCAGAGGATGTTTCATGATAAAAGTAAATGATGCAGACAAGACTAACTCCTGGTGCTGATTAGAAACAAAAAACAAAATCAGGATAAGTTTCAGTTCTGATCTCAGATAAAGTTCAGGTTAAAGTTTGGATTTTAGTCTTCTACCGTCATAAAATACTGATTTTTATCTTGTTTAATTAATCCCAAGAACTTAAAATGCTCCTCAAAAGGCTGGAGAATGTAGAGTTTTAAGAAGATCTTTTACCCCTGGACCCCCCTAGAACTGCTTCAGTCCACAGCTGCTGGTTAAAATGAACAGCAGACGTTGGCAGGGATGAGATAGACTTGTTTTTCTGTTTCAAATGAATTATATTGTTACCAGTTTTAACTGGACAGCCTGGTTTCTAAAGATAAGAATATAAACGACAAAATTATRTGAAAATTCACAGTAAGGTTTAGAAAAGTGTACAGGGGGCTCCTCTCCACCAAATCCAGTGCCCAAATCTGATTGGGTCCAGGATGATTGTAATAAAAGCTAATTTAGATTTATTAACTTTTAATATTTTGTTATGCACACTTGGTCAACAAATAAAGAAAATGAAACAAATCATTTAGAACAGTGGTTCCCAAAGTTGGGGTCAGGACCCATAGTGGGGTCCTGAAACATCAAGGTGGGGTCCTGAAAYGATTTTCTAAATTAATTACATTTTTGCCTTAGTTGCCTAAAATGTATAAATGTAGAATAATAAATATAGTTACTATGCCCATGTTTAGCTGACTTTATATAAATGTTTATCATCCAAAAATAGTTGTGGGCACAGGTCTCTACTGTTATTTTGTGGGTCAAAAGCAGTTTGGGAACCACTGCACTTCAGAAATCAATTTAAAGTGTAATAAAATAATTGGTGATGTAATATTTCCCAATAATTATTACAAAAACACAAAATAAGTATAAATAAGTATTTGTATTTGTGTAGCCTTTGTTTTAAGGGTTATTAACAAAGTTTGTGTACTCAGACCAGTAATATTTTGGGGTCACAAGTTTTTGCCATGGATATTTTGTGGGTCAGAAGATAAAAAGTTTGGGAACCACTGATTTAGAAAACATTGTTACCTGAAGTTTTGATAATTCCCTTCCTGTTTCTCCCAGGCTTGAGAGTAAATCTTCAAGGCTGCCTTTATGTTCTCTCTGAGGAACGGAAACATGTTTCAGTTCTAGAAGGTGAGCGATTTTGAATGAACAATGGTACAACCTGTTCTCACCCGCAGGTTTTACAGGAATCAATGGATCGAGGAACACTTTTAATTTTCGGATGCCTCCAGCGAGGTTTCGTGTTGCTGTGACCAGAAAAAAAAAAAGATTTATTCAAATCAGATTTGCTTTTAGAGCACGTTTCAAACCTCCAAGTTGGGAAACAGAAATTAGATTTCAGTTCTGTTATTTTTGAGCCGGGTTAAAGAGGAACAACGAGGAGATAAGAAGCATAAATAACAGATAAGGTATATTATCTGAGCATGTGACAGAAGAGGATCTGAACTGATAAGAAACAGTAAATGCAGCTTATTAAAGTCACAGGAACAGAAACTCAAATATTTGAGTTTGAAGAGTACTGTCTATTGTACGTACAGTAAAACATTTGTACATACAGTAAAAGATTTGTACATACAGTAAAGCATCTGTACATACAGTAATCTATCCATCATCTTTTATCAAATGTTATTGAAAATATTAAAAAGTTTAGCTGGGTGTTAAAAGCAGCAAAAGATTGACTAAAAATTAGGAAGCAAAAGTTTTGCTACGAGTTGTAAAGTGTTGTCTGAAAGGGTTGTTTGATCTATTAGCAAAATGGCTAATAGCTAAAAGCATCAAATGGCAAGCTAAAAGTTGCAAGAAACTAGTTATAAGCCAAAAGCATCAAAAGCCTATCGAAATCCAAAGAAGGCTAATACAAATCCAAAAACTAGAAGATAAAAGTGGCAAAAGGCTAGTTTAAATCATCAAAAGCTAAGCGAAGTATAAAGGCAACAAAAGATTGGCTAAAAGCTAAAAATAGCAACATTTTGGATGTAAAGGATAGCTATAAGTCAAAACTAACAAAAGGTTAGGTAAAAGGCTTTTTTTAAATAATTAAAAGTTTAGCTCAGTGCTAAAAGCAGCAAAAGACTGGCTACATAATAAAAGTAGCCGAAGGCTAGCTGAAAGCAAAAAATATGAAAAGCTAACTTTAAGTAMTAAAAGGTTATCCAAAGAAGCCAAAAGCTGGAGGATAAAGTAGCAAAATACTGGCTAAAATCTAAAAGAAGCTACAGGCTCTCTAAAAGCTAAAACTAGCAGAAGAGTTTCTAAAAGTAGCCAGAAGTCAAAAACAAAAGAATCCTGAATCAAATTTCAGAGAGAAATAAAGAAAATTCAGTTTATTTCTTTGGAAATCAAATGTTTTGATTTTGTTTTAAAGTATAAAAATGAAATGAAAATGATCTCTATGAGTTAAACCTTTTTTGAAAAGTAAAGCCTAAAACAGCTCAAAGCTTCAACACAATTATCCTGTTTTTCCAGCAGGTTTTTCTGATTAAATGCTGTTGGTCTTCATTAATACAAACATGGCAACACAGAAAACCAGTCTGCCAAAAGCTCTGACCAAATCATGGAAAAATCTCCAAACAGAATCTCTTCCTCCCAGGATTTTAGCTCCTGCTCCTTTCCACAAACTCCAACAGAAAGAAACCCTTTTCTAAGATGCAGAAGCGACTTACTTTGTGTCCAACATGAACCAGAGGACAGTTGTCAACAAGATGCACACAAACAGGAGCCGTATCATCACAGAGAGCAGCTGACCCTTCATCCTGACTCCCTTCACCTGTCAGCCCGCTCACATTTTACCGCTTTCCTCGCTCCCCTTCATAAACTTCACTTATTACATATTTGTTGTGTGCACTGCCAGTTGTGGTTGCAAGTGTTTATTATCACACACAAACATAGATACACCCCACCCCTTCCTGGAAACTGTAGACGCACACACATCTGCTCAGCTCTGAGGTTTCTTCATTCAGATTACTTAAAAAGTTTAACTTCCTGCTCACGAACCAGAAAGTCTTCATCAACTTTTGAATTATGTCAAAGAAAGCTGAACTTGTAGAAAACCATGAGTTCAATTTACTTGTGAAATTTGCACTTTAATACTTCCTACTATACTCTGATTATAACACAAGTCTAAAGCTGAGATTAAATATTTAACATTTTAATTATTATTTTTTTCCTTTTCTCACAAAGTCAATCACGTCTGGATGGATAAAATAAAGCYTGGCCATACATTAGCTCGTGGCCACGATGTAAATTGAGCAGCCGAATTAAGAATATTTTCCTAAGTAACTGAAAGTGACTGAAGCAATTTTATATCAAAATAAAATGTAATTAATTGTCCATAACACATAATGACACTGCATCCTGTCTCTGCTGGGAAATGACTGCAATAATTATCTTGTGGTCACAAGAAAATAARGCGTAGTCATGCATTCATTTTGTTAATTTAAGATCACCAGACATTAAATGAACTGTACCATCATGTGGGAAGTGGCAGTAAAACCTAACCGTTTAACCTGTGACTCTGGTTTGTAAAGTTTTTCTATWTAAAACATGTTACAGTGCTGTTTACTGCCACCTGCTGGATAGAAGAAGAATCACAGCATTTGGCAACGGTTGTGTTTTAACTACAATGCTCTTATTTTGTAGAGTTATCACCAGAAATGACAAAATTACATTTATTCAAAAAAGAATACTTTTAATAGACATTAACAAACAGTGGACACAGAAGATTCAAATCTGGTTGAAGTTTAACGTGATGCATGCAGCACCACACACCGAGGAGGGGCAATGACCACTCGTAAATATGTGGTGCCCCTTTAGTCGAACAGTTTTATATGTTTATATAACACAAACACCAGGGGTGCCACCAAGTGGGGGCTGAGGAGGCAATGATTATCCCTAAAAGTCCCTTCAGTCTGAAAGTTTTATATGTATTCCATGTTTTTACATAATAAACATACCAGCGGGGTCATTTTTGGGGGCCTGAGGGGGCATTGGCTATCTATGAAAATCTGGTGTCCCCTCCTTATTTTGACAGTTTTAATATACACA